AAAAAAAAAAAAAAGAAACTTAACCCAAAATCACAGAGGTCAAGGGATTTTTGGGCTTAAGCCATGGGCTGAAGTCCAGAGCTATCCCTGTTCCTGCCTTCCAGTTCCTTCTTGCTCAGCCCTGCCTTTGCTTCTACTACCCTAGTATCCTACCAATAAACCCCCCTCTTTTGTTTACATTAGCCTGACTTCATTTCTGTTTACTGCAATCAAAATATTCCTGATACATTTCTTGCTACCCAAAAAGGGTCAAATTAGAGTCATTATTATTTTTTGTATGGCTCTTTCTCCATTCACCCTAGAGGTTGTAATTTTACCAGTAGGAGACATCTATCTCCACTATAGCTAACCAGTACTGCTCACTCAGCATTTCTGGTTGTTATAGATCCAGGGAGCTAAATTCAGAAAAGGGCTCAAAACTAAAACAATGAAGAAATTTTTGTCAAGCATTTGAATGTCTCTTTAGATTTTACACACACACGCACACACACACACACATTTTTAAATGAACAGTAACCAATTACCAGATGACATTCTGTTATTACTGCATAACATTTTCTGCATCTCATATGTTAAGAAACTGATGCATTTTTAAGGGAATATAGTCAGTAATATTGTAATAACTATGCATGGTGTCAGATGGGTATAAGACTTATCGGGTGGCCACTTTGTAAGTTGTATAAATGTCTAATCACTATGTTGTACACCTGAAAGTAATATAATATTGTATGTCAACTGTAATTGAAAAAGAAAAAAATTAATCCTTTGTCATTTCAGCACATATGCGTGATCAATGAACACGGCAAAGAAAAGTATCGAGTCTAAAGAATTAAATTCTCCCCATCAAATCTCCAGATAACATCACGCCTTACGACTGCACTCAGGAAGCCAGCATGTAAAGTTTATGTCCCCAGGCGTCTTCACTCAGCAGGATAGAAAAGGAAAAAAAAAATGTTTTAATGAGAGAGCTTTCTTTTCTGAGATTATAAAATATAAAGAGTATCAAAGGTTCTCAAGGAAAAGAAAGCAATACGTTTATTTGACTTGCTCCAAATTAAACACTCCACCTTGTGACTAAGAGTTCTATCTACCTTCACACTCCTGAGCCACACCTTCTTTTGTTTTGATACAGTCATTGTGCTCGATTACTATACCCCCACCTAGTTACTCAAATATTTCTACTTAACTTTTTATATATCTATATACTCTATTTTGGTAATATTTCACAATCTTAAAGAACCAGGAAGCCGTTGAAGTTAAGCTCTGAATCTATATACTGGAAACTAGATTCCCATACTAAAAAAGGAGGGAAAGGACAATTTAATATAAATTTCTGTTTGCGCTTTTCTGACAGGCCATTATTATCTGCTTTGACAAAGCCTTTCTGAACTGCGGCATACAATGAATCTTAATGATGTTATGAAATGAGGCTTTGCTCAGTGCTCTTTATTGGAGCTTCCGGTGTGTAATAACGGTATGTCATGTATGCATGGATGTATTCAACTGTGCTTAATACTCCGAATTTTAATTAGAAAAAAAAACAATGGCAGCAAGGCCCTGGTTTCTAAGTGGCATCCTTTTATTCCTGTGGGACATGAGCAAATGGCAGAATTTGGGGGGAGGGGCAAGTGTTTTCAATGCTCAAAACTAAGCAAGTATAAATTTTTCCTCTTATTTGCACCAAAGGAAAAAACACTATTATGTATTATCCTAAACAGGAACACAGAGGTTGAATTATTATTTTAAGTGGCCTTATGAGACTGAGCGCACAATCCAAGGCACTACAGAAAAAAAAGCATACTTAACGTTTTTTTCTGAATAACATTTTTTTCCATTTTCCCTGTTTTATGAGATGTTTTCTAATTTATGGGGACTTTAATTGAAAATAAACTTGAGTGCCAATAGAGCTGTTTTTTCTCACTTCCTAAAAGGAGCAAATGCAAAATAAATAATTAAGTGGTCTTTGTTTGGTTCTGAACCATATGTGGCATATTGTTATCAGGTTCTAGCTTCCTTTAAACTAATAAAGAATAAGAAACCTTGTTATGTTTCATAACTGCTTACTGTTTTTCTTCCGCCTTCATATTTTTTGTATACTTTCAGCCATTAAAATGTGTGGTAGCTTAAATATACTACTGCATATATCTTCCCTGTGGCTTTATTTTTGTTAACTTGGAAAAAATCCAATATATGCACAAGTATAAGCAAACGATTAAGCCAGCCTTGATCTGCTGCTTTTTTCGTTTTTCTCCTTAAACTTGTTTGTAAGAACAAGGAATTTTTGTTGTAGAAGAAGATTTTCCTGCATGTTTTTGTTTCATCCAGAGAAGAAAATAAACCACACCCAGATATCCCTAGGGAGAAACGGGCAAAGGGAATTCCTTTTAGCTTTGTTCCATAGAGGAACCAGTATCCAAGTTATAGATTGCTAATTCTGTCTAATTGGCCTATTTCTTGAACTATCAAAATTAATATTCTAAGCACAGTTTTTCATTTTGCCACATGTATATAATATCAGAGGACCTAAAACAATTCAGACACATTTGATTATCAATATAAAATTATTTACAAAATATGTATTATTGAAATATTTTCTGTAAAGTGTTGAATTTTAGTAACAATCAGTATAATTTCTTGAGGACTTTATGTTTATTCAAATTAAAAAGGAAATTTATCTACACAAGATTTTAAGAAGGATTTGTACTAATTATTGTTTAAAAAGAAAAATCTGGGCCAGCCAAGTAGCTCAGTTGGTTAAGAGTTGGCTTAAGAGCGTGAGCTCTGAGCAACAGGGCCACCGGTTCGATTCCCACTTGGGCCAGTGACGCTGTGCCCGAGCTGAGCTGTCGCTGAGCTGCCAACGAGTGGCAGGATGGCTCAGCTGGTGTAACAACAAGATTGCCTGTTCGATGGTGGGCTATGCCCACCTGCAACTAAGACTGAACTTGGCATCTTGAGCTGAGCTGCCGCCCAGATGACTCAGTGGATAGAGCATACGCTCTTAACAAGGCTGCCAGGTTCGACTCCCGCATGGGATGGTGGCTATGCCCACCCACAACTAAGACTGAATTTGGCACCTTGAGCTGAGCTGCCACCTGGATGACTCAGTGGGTAGAGCGTGCACTCTTCGCAACAAGGCTGCCGGTTCGACTCCCACATGGGATGGGGGCTACGCCTACCTACAACTAAGATTGAACACAGCACCTTGAGCTTAGAGGCCATGAGCTGCCTACAGGCAGCCAGATGGTGATGGCACCCTCCACAATGAAGATTGAAGAACAACAACTTGTCTGTCCCCTTCCCCGAGTCCCCGATAAAATCTTTTTAAAAAATAAGAAAAAAGAAAAATCCACTACATACACAAGAAGTTTAATTATTCCTGCAATTTTTTCCTGTCAAATAACATTTTGACAGTGATATTCAGGAATGTCATCTTGGGAAAAATCGTATTTCCTTTTCTCTTGCAAAACTCTGACACCACAGAGTTTATTCAACCTCGATTAAAAAATGTAAAAGCTTATTACCTGATTAGTAACCAATTAATTTAATGTTCCAAATCTGATGAGTAGGGGGAAGAAAATGTGAGTGTTATGTTTCATTGGAAAAATTTGGATTCAGTTAACAATAATTAGTAATACTTTTACTACAGTAAAACAGTAACATAATTAGTAATACTTTTATGACAGTAATACAGTAACACAATTAGTAATACTTTGGGATCTTCCATATTAGAACCCCTCATTATAAAGTGGACCTTTCTTCCTGGACTGGAATGTGTCTCATTTTGAACCATGTACCCCCAATGTGAACTGCAAACAATTGTCCCTTGAACAATACAAAACAATACAAACAAGGTTTATATTGCACCAGCCCATGCATACACAGATTTTTTTCAATAAATATATTGGGAAATGTTTTGGAGATTTGTGATAATTTGAAAAACTCAGATGAACCTTACAATTTTCTTAACATTTTCTTTTGTCTAGCTTACTTTATTGTAAGACTATAGTATATAATGCATATAACACACAAAATATGTGTTCATCAACTGATTATGTTATCAGTAAAGCTTCTAGTCAACAGAAGGCTATTAGTAGTTAAGTTTTGAGGGGAGTCAAAATTATATATGGATTTTCAGCTGCATAGAGGTTGGTGCCTCTAATCCCCACGATGTTCAAGAGTCAACTGTAGTCAAATCCTGATGTACCTCACTTAAGTTTTGAATGTCTTTGGATATAGCATGTTTGCCATGTTTTCGGTCTTCTGAGATAGAGATAGCATGTTCTAGGAAATCGAACTCCTAACTCACACCCTTTGCCCAGATGTCTGGCTAATTTGAGCAAAAATAGCATTTGGGAGTTTTACTTACTATGCAATAATAAAGTTGCTTTGGGATCACCAGATGACATCTGAGGACTGGGGGCAGACTATTGGGTTGTCGGAAAAGTCATGACGCATTTTTGCAACAAAAAACATAGAAAAAAATATACGTCATGACTTTTCCGACAACCCAATAGTTTCATGAAGGGAAAAAGAGGATTGTAGAAGGGATTTTTTGCACATTGATGCTGGGAGGTGTGCAGAAAATGGAAAGAGGGTGTACATGGAGCAGGCGACATTGTTTCCAGACCCCAGTCATACCCCATGATTGGTTCTCAACCCTGTGGAGAGGAGTAGACAAGGACACTGGCTGAAAGAGTTGTTTTCATGGTAGTCTTTGTGCCATAGCCTTCGTGCCACACGGTGGTTCAGACAGGCCATTCTCCACATTTCATTGAGGATCATGGCACAGCTTTGGCGCATGGAGGAGTAGGAAAATAGCTCTGTTTTAGGGTGCCAGGGATTCTGCAGTTTGGGGAGCAATCTGGGCTGGAAAGGGTGTCCACATCCAGGGTGCTTCACAAGATGCCACCCTCCAGAGGTTTCATGAGCAGCCTATGAGCAGAATGGTGACGGACATGTTAGAAAGCGCTGAATATCCCACAAACATGGCTATTGCACATGCTATACAGCTTCTGCTGTGGGTGCCCTGCGCAGGGGCACCTGACCGAGGGAAACCCAGCCCACACTCCACTTGCCAAGCTGTAGACTCTGGCTGAGGGTCTGCATCAACCCTCTAGCAGGGGTGTCTTTTTCTAAAAAGGGTACATTTTTCTAGTCTGCTCAAAAAGAAGGGATTTTTTTGCAAGTGGCTTTTTCAGCCAAAGTAGGCTTTGCTCAGAAATAAGTAGGGGAGATAATGAAGGGAAGGTGGGGTGCTGAAGTCCTGCATTTTCCAAGTGGGAGAAGTAAGCCTGAACTTAGGTTACTCTGACCTCATTTGTTTCCAGAGCCTAGTGGGTGTTGATTAGTAAATAAGCTGTGAGTAAGGATGGTCAGTATAGATGACTCAGTCAAGAAAACGGCTGTGAAGAGAAGAGACACATAACCATGGCTAGGGGAGTTTTAAAAGATGGGAGAGACTTGTACATTTTTATTTGCTGTAGAGAACAAAAAGCAAATAAAACCCATAGACAGCATGTTTGTTATTGAATGCTGTGTAACAAATCATCTCAAAAGTGAGTTGCTTAAACCAACAATAATCATTTATTACCTCTCATGGCTTACAAGAGTGAGGAATATGGAGAGAGAAGAGTAGGGGTGGCTTGCTTCTGCTCTGTGGTGTCTTGCTTCAGCTGGAAGACTCAAAGGCTGTGAAGCTAAACTATCCCTTGGGGCAACGAGTAGCCACATGTAGTTTTTAAGTTTAAATTAACTGAAGTTAAATAAAATTATAAATTCATTCTCTTTTTCACACTAGCTACATTACAATTGTTCAATAGACTCATGTGGTGGTAAGTTGCCATATTAGACAGCACAAACTGAAAACTTCTGTGATCACAGAAAGTTCTGTAGGTAGCTCGGATCTGAAGGCTTATCCACTGGTTTATGCTGGCCATTAGCTGGAAACGTAGCTGAGGCTATCAGCTGGAATTCTTACGCATGGCGTCTCTAGGTGGTTTGGGCTTCCTCACAACATGAAGACTGGGTTCCGAAGCAAGTGCAGACAGAGACAAACACAGGAAGGACCAGGTGGAAGCCATAGTGGCTTTTACTTGACAGGCTCACTTCCACCACATCCTGTTGGTCAAGGCAGTTATGAAGATTCGTTTGAGTCCAAGGGGAGGGAATATAGACTGCCACCACTCAATGGAAGGGTAGCAGCATCATATTGTAAGAGCAAGTGGAATGGGATATATATTGCTGCGGCCATCTTCCAAAAACTGAAGATGAAGTCTTCCACAGAAAGGTGTGTGCCCTGCACATTTTCTACTAATAAGATTAGTGAAGGAGCCGATTTCAGTGGTCCTAGCACATCATTGAAAATGTGCCTGCTTACATAGCTTCTTAAGAACTACAGAATACTACCAAGCCACATGGGAGAATATGAAATGATAAAAAGAACAATACCAGACAATAGCACACTTTCATTATAAAGGTAGAATTACATGTTTGCCCCCTGATAGTGTCAAAAGAGCAGTTTTATTTCTATTAAGATTCTTAAGTTTGAAATAGTTCCATCGTTTTGGCTTACCAAGTGTTCTATATATGTAAATTCATTTTTAGAAGCAGATCCACTTTTATATGAAGAAATTGCATAATAATTTGGTCAAGAAGCTAAACCAGGGTGAGGGCTCTTTAAAATACAATAAATATTCCTAGGTGAACTGAACTATATAAATATAATCTTTTCCTGAAAGCAGTGATCATATCAATTAATAGACATTTTTAAAACAGCAGATTACTGAATACCAACCAACAAGGCTTTACAATGATAACTGCTGTGATTTATCTAATCCTCGAATATTGAGTGACAGAGTTGGTGGACTGGAAAAAGAAATTGATATGACTTGTCTTATCTTTGTTTTAACAAGGCTTTTGAAGAATATTCATCAATAGCCTGAGAAAATGACTTATACTACATAGCTGAGTGACTGCACAAATCCTTAGTGTTTGTTGTATTCAAAAGAGGCCTGTCATGGATATAACAAAACATATGTTTAGAAAAAGGCACATAA